ACATAAAGTGTTATTTGAAAATAGTTGTGAAAAGAGTTGAATTCTTTTTTTGAAAAGCAATAATAGCTTTCATAACTAGAAAGAACCTACAAAAACTACCCTTAGCACGATAATAGTGCTGGGATACCCTTGTTTGTTGCCCTACATATAAAGAAACATAAATAGTAAGTACCTGGTTGCAAATATAGGTGGAATTTACTCTTATAATTACGCACCTCTCTTTGAACTTTATTACAAATAAATATTGCAATAAATTTAACTTTTGACTTTATAAATGATTAAAAAAAAAAAACCAGTTGTGGGAAGCCCTGTCAAAGACGCTAGCAGAGAAGACGGCGTGGGCGTTGGCAATGGACAGGGGCATCAACATGGTGTCCATCAACGGGGGATTGTTGATGGGGCCTCATCTTTCCATCACGAACCCTTACTTGAAAGGAGCGGCCGAGATGTACGAGGCTGGGACGTTCGTGACGGTCGATCTGAATTTCTTGGTCGATGCCCACATCTGCGTCTTTGAAGATGTTTCATCGTACGGTCGATATTTATGCTTCAACCACGTTATTAATCGACACGAAGATGCTGTTCAGCTCACCCGTTTGCTAACGCCTTCCGCACCTTCCCCCGCTCAGAGGTTAGACTTCTACCTCTGATTAATCAAATTAATAAAATTTAAAGTATATTTTAATGTAATTTTATTTATACTTGTCGAAATTATGTTTATCGGAACTTATGATATTTTAAAATATTATAATTTAATTTTAGTTACTTTTTAATTAATATGGAAGAAAATCAAACTAAAAAAAATTAAAATAAAACTTGAGTGGAATTCGATCATATTGTTGTCATAAAAGATTTCTGGATTTGCGCAGCTACGAGGAAGCTAACATGATCATCCAACAAAAGTTAAGCAACAAGAAGTTGAACAAGTTGCTGGTGGATTTTGAGAGTGAAGCTCTGGAGACTTGAAGACAGAAGCAATGAAACCTTCAATCATGTACTCTTATCTTTCATCAGTCCTCACCCAAATGCAAAAATATTTGATACCACATCTTAATTGGTGGAATTTGCAAATTATCCCCCCACAAATGTAAAAGGGATGTCTCTTGTTTTGGGCCTTAGCTCAGTAATTGGAGACTAGTGGTTGTTTGTTAAGGAATGTTAATGCTATTTCTTGAGTTCCCATTATTTATTCAACTCTCTGTCTGTTTCATTTTAGTAAAATTTACAATATTTGAATAATAATCAACTAACATTTTACAATCATATTGAATTTTCCAAAAGATGACTTATTTTCTTTAAAAATTTTCAATAAAGATGTAAGAAATCTTATCTAAATTTTGTTTACATAAATGAAATTAACAATTTAATTTTCATTATTGCTTGGTTTTCTTTTTACAATTGACTACCACAATCTTGTTGATGTCACCTTTTTTTTTTTACTTCTTTGATATAAGGTTTTGTATTTTTCTAAGGAAAATGAATAACCGATTGGTAATGATTACCTAGAGAATGATTGTAATTGAAATGCAATAATTATGCTTTTATTGATGCCTAAACTTATACTAGTCAATTAGTTATGGTATCCATGCTTACTCTACAAAAAATAAAAATTGATCTTGTAATAATATTTAAAATTTATATTTAATGCATTATCATTGTATAGATTTTAATATATTATCACTTCGTTAATAAATAAATTTAAAAGTAAAAGTTTTCAAAAATAAATATTTATAATTTTTAAAATATTATTTTTAATTTTTTTTAATTTTCATATTAATATATCTATGAAGTGGCATTATGTAATTTAATGATACTATATAAATACTATATATCAATAATACATAAAATATAAATCTTAATTTTTAAAGAAACACGTGGGAAAACAACAAGGATATCAAATTTATTTTTTCATATCGCCTTTAAAAAGAAAAAAATATGTATAATATTTTGTAAGCTCATAGTAACTAAATTAAGGAAAAATAACATCAAAATGTTACTTATTTTTATAAAAATTGAAGAATTAAATTAATAAATTCATTATTGGAACATTTGTAGTTATATGAATTCGCGTATGAAAATTGTAAACCGAGATATTGCATTAATTATTTTCGATAATCAAAAAAGCTTATGAAAATAGGAAAAAAGAAGAAAAAACAATACAGAATTAAGAATTATTTGTTTAAGGAGTGCAATTCAGGGCATGTACCGATAGATTTTTTCCATGAAAATTGCAGAAAGAAAATCACTTTGAAGGGAAGAAAGGGACAAAACATACAGAAAAAGAAAAGGTACGCAAGTTTCCGCATATGGTTTTTACCAGTTCACCTCTTCTCCTAACTTCTTTGATTGCGGAGTTGAACCATTTTTCGCTCTTTTACAGAAAAAGGGGAGTTCTGAAAAATCTTTTTGTGCTTTCTCAATTTCTTCTCTTTATGTTATCTAAATCAAATCCATCTCTAAATTTCATCATCAATTCGGTTCCATATACATAGAAATCTGTTGCTATATTTCGACTTTTGTTATCCTTAATAAATGTCATTTCTCCAACATTTTTTGACTTTCTTTTTTTTCTACATTATCCTATGATATTTTAAGGTTGCAGATCTAACTCCATATCTTTCTACTAATTTATCCTTTTTTTGCATTTCTATCTTTATTTTGATCTATTTAAGCTGTTTTCTTTCTTTCTTTTTGTTATTTTCCTCAAGAAAGTGTTTTTTTTTATCAAATTTAGTTTTTTAGATGTGTAATCAAGTACCCATTTCTCAAGGAAATCATAAAAACTCAGTCTTTAGCTTCGATTTTCATCCAATTCATGTGATTTCAGCTTCTGGGTACATCTTCTTCTTCATGTTTTCTTACTAAAATTAGGGTTTTTTCTTTAAAAAAATTCCCTTGTTGATTACCTTTTTTAAAAAAAAAATAACATGGATTACGGTAGAGAAAATGTAGTTCATGTAATTCCGACAAATGGACCTGAAAGTTGGGTTCCAAATTCGGCAGACCCTTCAGTTTGGGCAACAGAAGAAGATTACCGTGTTTGGAACAACCAAGAAACCTCCACCGACACACCTTCGAACTCCAGCTACGACCAAAGGCAACCTCAATCACGGTCCAATTCGGAACAGCCACCAAATAAGAAATCAAGAAATTCTCAGGAATTAAATTCCCGGTCCAAAGCCATAGGCAAAATGTTTTTCAAGACTAAGCTTTGTTGCAAGTTCAGGGCTGGTACTTGCCCTTATGTTACAAATTGTAACTTTGCTCATAGCATTGAAGAGCTTCGACGCCCACCTCCTAATTGGCAAGAAATAGTGGCCGCCCATGAAGAGGAGAAAGGGATTTTATCGGAGCCAAGAGAGGAATTTCAAATTCCTTCTTTGGGTTCTTCTAGTTTTTCAGGGGAAACACAGAGGTCATATAAAGGAAGGCATTGCAAGAAGTTTTATACAGAGGAAGGGTGTCCTTATGGTGATAATTGCACGTTTTTGCACGATGAGCAGTCGAAGAATCGAGAGAGTGTAGCTATAAGTTTGGGGCCAGGAGGGTATGGTGGTGGCGGAGGAGGATCGGGAGGAGGAGGAGGAGGAGGAGGAGGAGGAGGTGCTGCTGCTGCTCCTGGGAATGGATCGAATTCAAAGCCGTCTAATTGGAAGACTAGGATTTGCAATAAGTGGGAACTTACTGGGTACTGCCCATTTGGAAATAAATGTCATTTTGCTCATGGAGTTGCAGGTATGGTTTTTTGATTGATCGATTAATTAGTTAACGAATTTACTTTTTTTTGAATCCCTTTTCGGTTTTGATTATGGAAAGTAATTATGGTTTTCACTTGTTTATAATTGGTGTTAGATATTTAGTTAATAAACTAGAATGCACATGATTAATTTGTTCAAAGAGCTTATGTAACTGAAAAGCTCCAATTTAAGGAAGAGGGCTGCGATTGTTAAACTCCTATGAGTATGCTGGAATTGTCTGCTTGGTGGATATGCTCCTGTTTAGCTAACTGCCTCTAAGTGGCTAGAACTTTGGGGTTGAGTCTCTCCTGTTGTTATGAAGGCAGCCTAATTCCATTTAAACAACCAGTGATATTTAAGTTTTTTCCTTGACCACAGCCATCCAATTTACTGGTGAGTATCAGGCAAGTTGGATGCTACTCAAAGTGGGACATATGGAAGTCTACCTTCATTTGACTGCTTTCAACCTATGCTCTTATCATGGTAGTATGCACTTGTTAAGTGAGAACCATGAACATGTAGTTCATCCGCTTGTACCCTTTATCCCTTTTCTTGCTTTGGGTGAGTGAGGGCATTTTGTTATCATGCCTTTGAAATTTGAGAACTTTTGTCTTACTTTTACTTTTATATTTGCTTAAATCCAGTGCCCCATTGATGAGGATCTAGCATCTCATGACGCAAGATTAATGCTTTTGTTGTTTTTAGTGGTGCAGAGATGGATGGTTTTTCAGTAATGAGTGTCTTCTGTGCTTTAGCATATGCTATTATATTTTTTTTGCTCAGCATGTGCTATTATATTTGATGGAAACAAACTTTATTTTCAGAGTTGTTCTCCTCTTCCTCTTGCATTTTCATGTGATAGGGATGAATATTTCTTCTTGTTGCAGAATTACACCGATATGGTGGGGGCCTTGTGGAGGCAGAAGCCAAGGATCCTTCTGCTACCCCTCCTGACCCAAAGCAAGGAGGGGTACCTTCAAAAACTCCTGCAGATACTGTGGCTGCATCAGCCCCTACAGTTCCGCTTTCAGATGTTTATCATCTTGGAGTTCCTTCACAGAGGACGTCTCTTGTAATCCAGAGGCCAGGACAAAGAACTCATCAGAAATGGAAGGGTCCGGACAAAATCAGTCGGATATATGGTGACTGGATTGACGATATTGAATAAACCCTGCTCCTTTGGGTACTCAGGGAAAAAAAAAAGGAAAGAAGAGATGGGAGCTGAAATTCTTTGCAGCAAGAAGCTTTTTCCTTGGGAAAGTGAATAATTTAGATATTCCTAGGACAGTAGGGTCATGTACCTTCAGCTTATGCGCTAGGGAAATCTTCTTCTTTGCTCACTGCCAGTTTTTAGTGGATCCCTGGCTTATTGGCATCTCAGCTGCATAAATTTTCACGTATGAATATTCCGTCCCGGGCTTGGGAATATGACGTCTGTATTACTGCTGTAGACTTTCTCCTTTGTATCAAATACTATAACTATTAGATGACACTTTTGATCTGAAAAGAAACTTTATTCCACTTTGCTGAAGTTACCATTTTTGTTCTTAAGCCTCTCTCTTGCGGGAAATATCAGGTTAATTATGCAGTACCAAACTTTTAAGCTGAATTTGGCGGGCATTTAATTTTGTTCATTTGAAGATTGTTTAGGAATCAGGAATCATCTTTTCAGTAGGACTATGGTTTCTGCACTACATCACTGGAAATGGAATTGATCCCCAGCAGCAATCTTTTGTGGCCGGCCGATGGTGTTAGAATGAATCTGAAAAATCGTAAACCCAAAATTAAAAAGAGGGAAAGGAGCTCCGGGAGAATGAACCAGCTTAACATTCAACTAGTTCTAACAGTTCAAACGATGCCAATTGCATCAACAATTTTAAGCTTCCCTGGAATTAATGCCTCCTGTTTTCTTGCAACAGACGGTAATTAAGGAAGAAAACGGTGATTAGGAGGTATAAAAAGAGTAGCTTAGTATACCTCTCCCGTGAAAGCAAGTTTTAAGCTGTGAACTTCTTTAGAAAGGAGGCTTTCACACTTAGCTTGGGCCAGACTGTCCTTAACCAAAGCCACATTTTGTAGTTTACCTTGTCGTTGGGTTAGCAAGAATAGTAAAAGAGCAAGGACACATATTATTCAGACAAAGCTCCACTTCCTTCTCACAAGGACTCGCTCAATAGCCACAATGCTTACCAAGCATCAGCTTTCCAAATTAAGCTTACCACTTTTTGTCATACTCATAACAGACATCGACATGTGTCATTGTTCTAAGACAAAAACAAAGGAAAAATCTATGCAAACAAAATAAAATCTCATTTTCTCTCATCAATGCAAAAACACAAGGCCGGAACGACCTACACTCCGGCCACTGCTACCCTTTTTGTTCAATGTCGACATATTCTCCCTATGCTCAATCACCATCATCAAACTACAACCCGCCAGTACCTATAATTGTAGCTATAATTTTCGTCCTTTTGTTCTTCTTTGGTTTCTTCGCAATATATTTTTTTAGGTGTCTCGTGCACAATCTTGTTGCTTTGTGGAACCGACGGCGTAACCCTTCGGGTGCTGTAGTTGGCACATCAGGTGCAAATATGAGTAATGGCCTTGATCCTGAGCTGATACAAGCTTTCCCAACATTCTCTTATTCCAGTGTCAAAGAGTTTCGTTGCGAAAAGTATGGCCTCGAATGTGCTATTTGCTTGGGAGAGTTCAGCGATGAGGACATGCTTCGCCTTTTGACAATTTGTTGCCATGTTTTCCATAAAGAATGTGTTGATCTTTGGCTTGAATCACATAAAACATGTCCTGTTTGTCGTGGGGAGCTAGATGTGCCTAGGAAATCATTGGAGAAGTCCCCAATACTTGTTCAAAGCAATTCCATGCATGAAATTGGAGCAAATCAAAGCTCAGTACAAGATGCTGTTTGCATTGACATTAAAGAAGATAACAATGAGGAAGTTGATGGGGGAGAAGCTGAAGCACAAGCCTCTTCAAATACAGAAGAACAACATCATAAAGAACGTGACAAGATGGAAAGATTTTCGAGGTCACATTCCACCGGGCACTCCATAGTTAGGACTACAGAAGAGGAGGACAGATACACTCCGAAATTGCTTGACCATGTCAAAATAAAAATTGTAAGGGGACATAAATCTGCAGGAAGTTGTATTGCATTTGGAGATTTTTCAAGCCCTTTGGACTACAAGAATGGGAGTTTTGGTGAAGCATCAGAGACTGGCCGAGAAGACATGGATAAAATATAAGTTTCTAGAGACTGTTTTTCTTCTCCCTTGTTCATAGAAAAGCTCATTTTTGACATGATCTTAGGAAATTCTGAATAGATTTTATTACAAGCATTATGTGACAACCTTCTCAAGTTCTCATGTTTCTTTATAGTTATAGGCGTCCTTATTGAATATTCCATGAACTGATAATTGGCACATTGAAGGTTTCAAAAAACTGTAGGTAGATAGATGTGTGGCCTTTTTCCCAAAGGAGATAATACTGAGAGAACTGATATAAGGAGGATCATTCAATCATAAAACTCTAATTGAAACCAGTGGTCCACATTTGGGTTCATTTATTTATTAGCATTCCACAGAATTCAAACTCATTTCTTCCAGTTATTGCTTCTTAATGTTCTGAAAGAAGAAGAATGAAGTTGCAGATTTTGGTATCTGTATTCCACTTTATTAAGCAATGTCTAGTGATACCTTTCGCAACAATCCAAAAGGTTTCAGGAAGGTCCTTTCTGCGAGCATTGCTTTTGATGAGTTGCACTTGCACCGGTCAGGCTTGATACAAACTGTACTCTTTTGATTTTGCAGTAGCTCATAAACTTTGCTACAAATTCTGTTATCAGGAAAAGGTAATGTTTAGTTCCATGGGGATCAACTGAAGGCATCATATGCTTTACAGCACTATCTATATTGTCCTCGGCTAGGGTTATGCTGAATAAGAAGTAAAACTTTTATTTCCCTTCTATTGCTGCAAAAGAAAACCGAGACATTTTGCGCATTCTGTTGCCTACTGTTTCGTCTTTGTAGCTTAGTTCTGCACTAAAATCTTCATTTGGCTTTGACTTTAATATGCAAAAGAGGGTGTCAGAAAACTGGTATTTTACAGAACAACAAAATAATGGGATCGCAAAATTTTAGTTTATGCTTTACAATTTCCTCGTATAAACTTTCTAAATCCAACTGAGTTTGGCTGTCCGGAACATGCTTTTTCAGCTCTGCCACTAGAGTCTGAAGAAGAGAAACATATTGATTTGGATTGCGAAGTCTAAATTATTCATAAATGGTGGGCAGGAAGATCTTGCACTTAAAACAAATTCTCGACAGATATGGTGCTCCATTAAGCGTAGAACCTTTTTTCTAACAAGAAACAGCCTGCAGTATCAAAGCCAAAGAAGTCAATAAATACGAAAGCAAGAGACATGCATTAATGGTGAAATAATTTTCAATATTGCAACTAATTAACAACAGCAAACTTCATACTTTCAAAGCTCACAAGAAACAGAGGGCAAAACAAGTTTCTCATTTTGGTGTGGCTGGGAATGTAATTTAAATAACTCATCTTCATTGAATTGCATAAATGTGGAGGTTTTGTTGGCGTTTGTACATCAAATATCAAATTTCCTGTTATATAACTTGATTTAGCTGTCTATCTGACTGCTAGAAAGTCATTTTCAAAAGTAAAAATTCTATGGTTAGGAGATGCTAGTATCTGCTTTTCTAATCGTTAGAACCAGTCTAAACAGTAGCATACCCACTAATATAGGTGTTAATGAGAACATCTGTTTTGTTTTATCTTTAGGGGATGTTGGATGCTTTAATATTTGGCTAAGATTGACTTGTCAATCTGCAACACAAACTGATAATTAGAAGTTTCTGTGAACCCGGTCAATTTTTTCTGTGGAAAACATAAGATGCCCTTTGCTGAAGCTTAGTGGTAGGAGCAGAAAATGGTAGTGAACTACTCACATGTTTAGGCTTTGTTCTTCAATGATACTTTGGGCCATTAGTGCAAGCTCATCTTCCCAGCCAGTCATAATTGATTGGCCTTCTTTAAAAGGGTAACTGTAAATACAGCATAGAAGTTATAAAATTAGCTAGAAAGGACAAGAAGAATTTTAGATGGTTTACAGACAAAACTTCAACACCATTCGTTGTATGCTGCACTGGTGACAAGAACATATTATAGTTGACAGACTAAGTTGGCTTCAAAAGTCAGGCTGAGAAACCATTCAGAGTGAAAAACCATCATGGTTAGGGGTTCTTTCACCATAGTAAGACAATTTAAAAGGAATAAATTCTTGGTGCTATTTCTTTTTGATAGAATAATGCAGTTTCACCATGTCAGACTACAGTGGAATGCCTGCACTTTGTTTGACTTACTCTGCGAGCCATGTGGCCTCAAATGAACGAATAGCTTGCCTGAGGCAATGATTGGAATTCTCTGCTATAGTTTGGTACAATGTATGAGGTAATTCAATATCTTCTTGTTTAGCAATGAAGTTTAAGACTCCAACAATCTGCAGAGTAGATCATGGTAAAATTAAGGACTCAAGAAAGAGCTTCAAAAATCAACAGAATCAGCTTCTTGAGATGAAATAGAGAACTTACCTCCTTGTTTGGAGGTGGAGGAAGATGGATAACTCTGCAGAGAGGCTTGAGAATTTGAAGCTTACAGATATCAGAGCAGCAAAATATAACTTTATGCTGACCGGTGAATTTTCTAAGAACCTTCGAATTTGGGGATGAGCATTCTTGGATACTTTTTCTGCCTGGTGGAAAACAATCGCTGCAGAAACAGGTTTGTGCATTAGCTTTAGAAACCTTTAGAGTTTCTTCAGGTTCGGGACAAAAACAATATACACAAACCGCACCTTTGGCATTTACAAGATTGTGCTGCAAGGGTGGTTGCTTTGTTAAAGCATTGTGTGTCTTCTTAATTATTAACAAGGGCACTTCTGTTGCATAACCTCTTATACCAGATTCAGAGAGGTCGACCTCTATGTGTTTAGCAGCTGCTTGTTCTCTTATCTGAATGCTTGATGTTAGCCCTCTTTTTAGTACACTCTTTAACATGAATCACAAAATGATATTAGTACGTGGAATGAAATTTTCAGAATCATGCATGCAGCAAATGTTGGAACCAGGAAATTTGGAAACAAGTAAAACAACTTTTGGCAGCTTTGGTTAGACTTCAGACCAAGGGGCCATTTGACAGTTGAAAGGGAGTTTTCGATCTTTAGATTAAATGATGGGGGAAATACAGTCACAAAATGATGAAACCAAGCTTCCAAAGCTTACCTCCAAATCCAACGTTTGGAGTTCCTCCCTTGTCTGTTAAAAAAAGATAAGCAATCAACACTGAAATTCTTCTATTGATGTCCGGTCCAAAATTTTCTCTAAGCAGTGCTAGAGCCATTGTTCTCTTCCCTATTCCTGGGAATCCATCAATTATTACATGCTTAGCATCTCCAACTGTCACCTGCAAATTCATCAATATGAAGCAACTGTCATTACAATTCCCATACATCTTATCTCAGTATCAAATATCAATCCCTATTCCCTCGGTTCTGTCTAGGTGCCATTTATAATAGTCCATGCACAATCTTGCTAGAGTTTCAACCTTCTCAGCTATTTCTCTGTGGCAGATGAAGTCCTTCAAAGCCTTGGGTTGATAGTTCTCTGCCCAAGTGAATTTCTGCTGCGTTTTGGGAATCTCTTCCTTGGCAACTGAGTCATGAGACTGTCTGGCCTCCTCCGGCTTTCCTGTTTGTAAAAACTCTTCTTTCAATGAACTTGGATCAATCTTCTTCTTGTTCTTCTTGTCCATGTTTGCTTTTGTTATCCAGGAAAAACCTATGCTCAATTTTTTCCTTTATCAATGCTAGGCATTAAGTTGTTTGCTAATGCCATGGTGCTAAATCATCATCCGGGTTCGAAGCACTTCCTCCAAAATTCAAGAGGGTAAAATCATCTTAAATTGAACGTTCAAGGTAATAGGAGAGAGTCAAAATTATAATAAAATTCCCGGTTAGCAGCCTCAGTGTTCTACATCGAGTGGCAGTGTGCTGGTTTAATAATTTCTTAAGAAAGTAGTGGGCGGAGACATCAAAGCATGGTGATAACAAAGAGAACATGGAGAAACAAGCTATGATCCAAACCATGAGAGGAGCTTCTTGGCTACTTCTGGGGAATGGGGGAATATTTTTCTTTGTCATTTTGTACTGAAGGTGACGGACACATATCTAAATCTTAGGACAAACCATCTCAAATCATCAGGAAATGATTTGGGCACTAGCATTTTGTCCTACCATGTGTTTAGCTGCCATGCCGTTGAGAAATAGACAAATTTTTATAGTTATCCAATAGTTATGTTTTTTTTTCCTAGTTTTCTCCTGAGAAATCAGAGACACTATTTGGCTAATGTGTTTCAGCCTCTTCCACAAGGATTCTCACTTAAAATTACATGAAGAATAAAAGAGGGGTTTGGAATTGAATGTTTCTAAAATCTTTAGGTATAAAATTTGGATTTATATTTGATGTACAGTTCAATATATGTATAACATTCATACACTATCACTTAATCATGAAAGGTTATTTCATAAATGCATAAAAGTAAAAATTTAAAATTCATTCAAAATAAATATTTTTAAAATTATTAATATTTATTTTTGAGAATTCCTAATTTTAAAATTTATTTATTACCGGAATGATACCATTTGATTCCCCCATAGTGTATAAAATATATACACTAACGTTACATCAAATATAGACCCATAAAATTTAAGGTTAATCTCATCCTAATCTAATCCTTATCTCCAATAGAGATTTGAGAAGCTGATTAATAATGAATTTGGGTGTCATTTTGGGCCTATCTCAGTACAGACTATTCAGGCTACTTTTGGCCTTTAGGCTTTTTCCAAGTTTGTCCCTTGTTTTCCCCGTTACGGGTTTATGGCCCATGGTTTGCAGTTAGCAGGCTAAGTCGGTCAAGTTTCGGTTACAAAACAGCGGGCCATCTAACCCGATTACCAAAACCTCAAACTACAATAAAAAAAAAAACCCAACACAAATCTTAGCGGTTTTCTTCGACGTTTACTTCTCTTTTCCTTCGGTTTTTCTTGATTCCAGGCAACACGAACGCGCATTCTGATTTTAAAACGTTTCGTCGATGGATTCACTACCAATATCTTTCAATCCAACAAGCACCTCAAAGAACAGTTACTCCCTCTCTCTCTCTCTCTCTGAGTTTTCTTCATTCTCCCTTTTCCTTCTTTGATTTAATAATAAATCCTAAATTTGTTTTTAAACCCTAACCTACAGATTCGTCAGCAATTTGACGGGATCGTCGATGCTAGAAATCTCCGCGCTGTTGACCACTGTCCCTGTAAGTTTTTAACACTTCAATTCCTTTTATTTATTTATTTCTCTAATAATTTTTTTTATTTTTTGCATTCAGATTCTAGTACTTTTACGGCAGTCCATCTGTTCTCAAGCCCTAACTGGTAAATTTATCGATTCTTCGACTTTTTTTTTTTTGCAAACTATTCTTAAATGTATTTTGTAAAATAACAAAGTGCAGAGAAATTCAAAAGTTTTTGCCATTCTACATTTCATATGAGCTTATTTATGAATATGTTTCAACAGATGGTGATACCAAAGAGACCTCTTTAAAGAAAAATGATAGTGCAATGGTTGCTTTTAAGAATTTAAAGGCTTACCTAGCCACATTAGTTATGGATTTTGTCTTCATTGTTCTTCCCACACTTTTACTTTTCACTGTAAGTATTCCCAACAAGCATTCGAAACATTTTGTTGGAATCCCAGAATTTCACTTTTGATTAACGCAAGAGTTATTACATATGATAGGTTCTAGCTGAGTGGATCTATGTATGGATGATTTTGTTATCGTTGTTACTGATTTTCGTTATTGCAGGCAAAAGGTAGAACTTGTATGCCACATGTACTTGTTACTTTTGCTGTCATTAATCATTTTTCCATGGGGAACTCATGGAGGTGGCATATATAAGTTTCTGTCTTTGATTTAAAAGTATATTAACTCAAAACCTCGTAATACAGATCTCCTTTTTCGCCTTACTTGGAAGGACCTAAATCTTTTAGGATGAGCATATCATCATATAGGGTTGCTATGGTTAGTGTCTTACCTACTTTGGTACTCTTTATATTGTTGTCTATTGAAGCATTTATCTTTCATTTGTGTTAACTTTTTTTGAATAGAATAAATGTTGAGTGGGAAAATTGTTGCAGATGTTTGTTACATGCTTGTGTATCTTGGCTGTTGACTTCAGAATATTTCCTAGAGAATTTGCTAAGACTGAGACTTATGGTACTAGCTTGGTAAGATATTGTCAAGCTATATCCTGTAATTGGTCCTTAATAATTTTCTTTCAATCTCTTCCTTATTATATCTTTCTTTGCTACCAATTTAGCATTAAGTAGATTGTAGTTCTTCTATAAAGGGAAAAGTCACGTTAACATTTTCATTCATAAAACTTTTGTTGTTATTGATCATACATAAAACTTTTGTTTGTATTTGCAGTATAACTTTTTGTTATTATCCTGGTGGCTAGCAATCTGAAAATTTTATTAAGTAATGTTAGTAAACCTTCCATAATTTCGTCAGATGGACCTTGGAGTTGGCTCGTTTGTACTAGTGAATTCAATTGTTTCACGACAAGCACGAAATGTCTCATCGTCAATGTGAGTTATCCTTTGAAATAGTTTTCCTGATGTTGGTATTAACTTGTTATGTATAATGCATATCATTTTAAATTTTTTTCTTCTAAGCATATGTTTATAACTGTGATGTCACAATTTTTGTTTTTGAGTTTGCAGTATATCTATATTAGGTATATGCTATGTCAGATTTATGTTGCACTAATTTTCTTAATGCTTCTGAAGGGATTGGTGGAAGGCAGCCCTTAAATCTACGAGTCCACTACTACTGCTAGGATTTGCGAGACTTGTATCTACAATGAGTGTGGACTATCAGGTAGAATATATTTCTTCATTCTTGACTTTTTGTAATCATAGTCGTTTGCAATGGCATATGATAAGTAGTTTTCCACACCTGCTTACTTCATATAAAGAATGGCATGTATCATCTTTACATGCTTTTGAGTGAAACAGATGGGATTCTGCAAGATGTGTAAATACATACTACAAACCTGTTTTTATCCACAAGCGCAATCCCATCTATATTTATTCAAACATTTTGCATAATAATTGTAGTATTTATACAAACTGGTTTGAGTTAATGATGTCTTTTTGAATGTTCACAATTCAACCATTCACCTGGTGATGATTATTACATGATTCTTTTTTTTTAATTCCATTTCTCCCTTGCAGGTACATGTGGGGGAATATGGAGTACACTGGAATTTCTTTTTCACACTTGCTGGTGTATCTATCCTTACATCCACAGTTAATGTTCCCTCAAAATATTCTGGAATTCTTGGTTCATTAATTTTAGTTGGTATACCTTTCTATTGATCAAGTTTGTTGATATTTCTGGTAAATTCTGTTTGATTCTTCCTGTACAATAACTCGGCTTTCTAATTCGCAGGGTACCAAAGTTGGTTGAGTAATGGGTTAAATGTGTATCTGCTTTCTAACAAAAGGGGAATGGATATCATAAGCAGAAACAAGGAGGGAATTTTTAGCATATTTGGTGAGGATAATTAGAAATATACCTTATGGTTTGTTGGTATAAGCTTTATTGTAGTTTTTGTTTGCATTGGCAATTTTAGTCTTAGCTATGTTGTTTGTAAGATTCCTGTGATCCCAACTCCTGAGCAAAAATAACAAACTGTATTTGTTGCATGATGAGGTTGATCTTTGATTCAAATCTCACCAAAAAAAAAAGCTTGTATTAATTTGAGGGAAATTGGAAATGATGGAAAAGGGAATTTCCTAGATTAATTTTAATAACATTTATTCCATTGGAGATCTGTGTCTTCTTGACTTGTTCCACAAAATAATAGATTGTTCATTGTTCTATTCATCTAAAGAGAGAAAAATGGTTTTGCAATCTGTGCAATCCCTCTGATTTTTTTTTTGTACTGCTTGTCAGCACGTCATCTATGCAATGTTTTGTGAAGTAATTATTTGTTGTCGTTCCCAGGATACTGGGGTATGTATCTTATTGGTGTTCAGGTGGGCTACTACCTCTTCTTTGGAAATCATTCCTCTGTCATGCTGAGAAGCAACAATGGAACACGAATTAGAGTCTGGCTTCTTTCTATTTTGTTTTGGTATGTACTAACTCACACATGATTTTTGTTACCCCAATATTGGTGTGTTCATTCCCAACAAATTGATTGCTCATAAGGTGACGTGATCAATTTCCACAATGTCTGTTGCAGGGTTCTAACTGTGCTTCTAGACAGGCATGTTGAAAGAATTTCACGTAGAATGGTAGGATATATTTATAATGAGATTTACTATTTTATAGAACTATTTTTGCAATTAAAAATCATGAAAGCACTTGATGCAATTTCTGCAGTGCAACCTGCCTTATGTTACTTGGGTGCTGGCTCAAAATCTGCAGGTTATTCTTATTTCCTCCATTATTTAAATATTTCAAGAATTTAATGGCAATGTTCATCATCTTATGTATTATTAAGCTCATGACATATAGAAGCTGTCATTGATTTTTTTGATTTAACATATATAAGGTCAGGACTTAATTATTTACAGAATAATTTAATGTTTATCTTTCTTTATGTAGTTGCATTTTTAGTTGTGATTGGGCACTTAACTGAACTATTGGTTTCTTAGTGTAATATCTCTTTTCACATAACATGGAATCTCAAAATTTACAGCTCTAGTATGGTTTTTGTGTTTAAAAAGAGGCTTGGCTGATGGTTCAATGTATTATTTATGTCAACTACTTGTTTGAGTGAAAAAAGGAAGGGCATTCTTTGACTTTGAGCAATTTTCCCCCTTCTCTTAAGAAATGTATAATTAGACAGTGCTGTGAAACTTAGTTGGACATGTCTACGTCTATGTGTTGTGCAGAAATGGTGAGACTTTGAGGAAAATTTTTTTGTTTTGGCTTAGTGCTCCTCATCCCAACATTGATAGGAATCACAGAATCAAGTATCAACCATGACATGGATAGAAATTTTTCAGTCCAAATTATCCACATTTGTTCTCTCAAGAGGAGAACTTCATTCTTCGGAAAGTTGTTACCCAAACTGAGCCAATGTCAATTTACCTCCTTTTGTGTCTTTGATATAATCCTCTAACAGATATGCAATTAATCATGAAAGAGAACTGAAACGCTTGCTGAGGTTTCACATTAATTATGAGACTTTACAAATCCAAATAATAGAAATATATCCTGGTTATTTTGAATTGTGATGGATGTTTATAGTTTTAATATTATCCATAGTCACATGTAGTGCATGGCTAACAAAAAGTTTACCCTTGTTTCAGCTTTTAGCAATACTAATGCTTTCTAATTATGTCCCTGGGAGCAAAATTTCAGCTCTTGAAAAGGCATTTGACCGGAATTTATTGGCTTCCTTTCTGCTGGTAAAGGAAACATCCTTTCTTTCACTCACTTGTGTGCTAATAAAATCATCATCTTTCTCGCCAGGCTCAAAGAAATAACAAAACAGGTTTTCTTGCTTTATTTATGCAGGCTAATGTGCTCACAGGACTGGTAAACTTGTTTGTGGATACGCTGTTTGCCTCCTCAGTATCAGCTCTTCTAATCCTGATTTCCTATGCTTTGACTTTGTCTGTTGTCATTGGAATAGTAGATTTTTATGGTGTTAGGTTAAAATTTTGGTAGGGCGACCACCGTTGTATCTGTTCAAAATGTTTTATGAAAGCTATAATGAATTAATTCGGTTTCGTTGTGCATTTGAAACAAACCAAAAATTCATGGTTGATATGGTCTCCCTATCCAATGCTACTCTGTTGACTGATTATTGATATTATGGTCCCTTTAAAGGCCAAGCATGCCCATGATCAAACACATGGAAACGCACATGCATGCCCATGTCATATTGTGAATGTATATGCCCAGGTGGCACAT